GTTGGCTGCATGCGGTTTTGGTTTGCAGTACTATCCATTCCCTAAAATGAGTTCTGTTTCTTATCTACAGAAATTCAAACTATGATGGCAGCTCAATTGGACATTACTCCTTTCAACTTCAGTGAATCCGGTACCGGCCATGGTGAGAGGGTACTTGGGTTCTCCAAGCCAGATGGGACCAGGGAACCTGGCAGTGGGTTCTCCTGTCCTCTCTGCTATTACTCATTTAAGCAAGAACAAAATATTTTCTACCCCATTTCTTATTTTCTCTTAATTGACTCAGCTTTTCTCACAAACCTCTGCACTGTCTCTTCATGACACAGAATAACCTCTAAGACAGCGGTTCTCAACCTGTGGGTTGCGACCCCTTTGGTGGTAGAACGACCCTTTCACAGGGGTCGCCTAAGACCATCCTGCATATCAGATATTTACATTATGATTCATAACAGTAGCAACATTACAGTTATGAAGTAGCAATGAAAATAATTTTATGGTTGGGTCACAACATGAGGAACTGTATTTAAAGGGTCAGAAAGTTGAGAACCACTGCTGTAAGAGGAAGAGAGGTTAAAGTATCCTGATTGATCCCAGGCTAATGAGGTTTCTTATTTCCTACTTCAACAACATGGACACACCAGAAGGGCCAGTTGTAGCCTCTCTGGTTGTTTCTCTGCCACTCTCTTCAGCCTGAGAGACGACTGGAAGGAGGAATGTGAGAGGAATTGATTCATTCAGGTCCTAATTTCCCTGCTCCTGGAGGCATGTTTTGGAGGTAGAATCCATTTGGAGGTAGAAAACAACAAATTCAACAGACTGGCTCACTCAGTTTCTCACGCAACCCTCCTTTTACTTCCTTATCTACAGAAATCAACTATATCAATTAATTTGACTTTTTGTTGGTTTGGTACCACACCACAATACAACTTAGTACCCTAAAACCTCAACTATTTCTTTGGCTATCAATTTGGTAGATAGATGGGAAGTTTTTGGGTCTGGGCACCTGGGCTCATCTCAGCCAGACTTACTTATGCACCGGTGCTAAGCTTGTGGTTCAGTACACAACTGGATAATCTTTTTTTCAGATTAAATTAATTGGGGTGACATTGATTAATAACATCATATAAGTTTCAGGTGTACAATTCTATAATATATCATCTGTGTATTGCATTGTCTCCTTCCGTCACCATATATTTCACCCCCTTTACCTGCTTCAACCTCATCCCGCCCCTCACTCCCTCTGGTAACTGTCATATTGTTGCCTGCGACTGTGAGCTTGTTTGTTTATTTGAATTGTTTATTCCCTTGTTGCTTTCTATTTCATATCCCATGTGTAAGTGAAATCATATAGTTCTTATCCTTTGTTCATCTGACTTATTTGGCTTAGCATACCGGTAATATTCTCAAGATCCAGCAACTGGATACTTTTGAATGGATAGTCCCATGGCCATGTCTGGTGGTTAGCAGGCTCTTGGGCGGGCCAGGGTGATAGGGATTACTGGGCCTTGTGTCTTTCATCATCAATCAGTTGCAGGGTTCTGAAGAGCAAGAGACACCAAGCTACAGGGCATCAGCACTTTTGCAGTGTACTTGCATCATGCTTCTACTGCCCTATTGCCCAGACCAAGTCACAGGGCCCACCCAGATGCAAGGGGTGGAGAAACAGACTCAGCACCTTGTGGGAGGAGCTGCAAATCCATATGCTAAAGAGGCTTGTGTACAGACCTGGGATTAATTCATGGCCATATCTGCAGTCTATCACCCAGACTGCCATATGCTTTCAGCATTGGCAAATAGTTGCAGTGTTGGAGCTGGCCTTTGGTGACTTCTCATTTCACCTCCCATGATTTTCCTACTTCTCTCTGGATGACCAACTAATGCCCTCAGGATATCCTTAGGTTGGAGTCTTCTACTGTGGTGCTCACTAAATAATAATTTGATCCCACCCACATTTTTTCTTCAATTTAGCCATCTTGTTGCCACTGCTTTCAGCTTCTGGAAATTTACTTCTCTAATCTCAGAATTCTGGTTATCAGATGTGTTATTTTGCCTTAGGAATGGTTTTACTAATCCTTGGATTAGGAACAGTTTCACCTTAAAGTGTGTGGGAAATAGGAAATAACTACCGATTATTTGGAAGCCAGAGTGGGGGGTTCTGCAAAATCTCTCTCCTGTTTGATTGAATTTTTTTAAAAAAATCATTCCAATGTACAGAATAGAAAAAGAGGGCACAACAGAACTAAAGGGACCACTTAGGGGACTGCTGAGTCATTGATGGTGATGGTAGCTTGGGCTGGTATGATGGTCTTCAAAATGGAGAGAAGTGGTCAGATTTGTGAACTTGCCAATGGGTCAGATCTGGAAGGTAAGGGAAAGAGAGGAATCCAGGGAGATTCCCAGTTTTGTCTGAGGAACTGGATGAATGGTGGTGATATCTCTGAAAAATAAAATGGAGTTTACAATCATGTCAGCAATACTGTCAATGTGGTGATGTATGCATTGACTCAAAGCAGAGACACGTCATTGTAATCCAGGTTTCCTCCTGCAAGAGTCAGTTTTACTCAAGGGCTGTGCTGACAGGGTCTTCCTTCAAGGAGAAACAGGCTCTCAGATGTTCTTGTCAGTTGACTTCTATGGTCCCAGTCTGTGCTGAACAAATCCTGAAGGCTTCAACTTTATAGACACATGGAAGAGATAGCAGAGAATTACTGACTGGAAAGAGGGATAAAGAGCTATATAGATGATTTGGTGTTTAACTTGAGACACAGTGATCTTTAAAACATCATTCAGGCGTTAGGCTATGCTGTTCTTTTATTAACTTCCAGGTGTTTTAGGAAGTAGACATGTCTAACCAAATGAAACTAAAAAAGTGTAACTCCACTAATGCTACTCTGTATGAGTTGTTATTACTATTATTTATGTATCAAGAGATTTTAGATTAACTCCAGAGAACTGTCACTACTTTCTGGATAGAAGTTTTCTACATATTAATTTCAGATAGGAAAACTTCATTAGGTTCCTACATTTAGGTCATATATTAAAAGTAAGGCATTTTGTACTCCTGTGGTTCAGAATCACTGAGAAGATGTATGCACATCTACACTAATAAAAGAGAAACATGGTAATTAGTGTACGACCGCTACCCTTTTCATTGGCTAATCAGTGAGTATATGCAAATTAACTGTCAGCCAAGATGGTGGCCGGCAAGCCAGGCAGCTGGAAGCGAACATGAGGCTTGCTTGCTGCAGTGAAGGAGGACTCCAATGTTCTCCGCCTGCGCTGCCGGCCTCTGAGCAGGCAGTTTGAAACTTTGTAACAAATATAGAAGCTAAACAAAACCCAGGGATCTCAGAGCTGGAGTTATACATTGTTTCGATTATAGAATGCAAACAAACCAGCGGAAGCCTCAGAGCTAGAGCCAGAGCTAAAGCTGGCCCAGAATAAAATTTAAAAAAGAGAAAAAAAAGGAGCAGTTGGGAGCTTCAGTCAACAACTGCCAGCCTGAAAGCAGCCCTCAGCCCCTCACCCAGACTGGCCAGGCACCCCAGTGAGGACCCCCACCCTGAGGGGTGTGTGACCAGCTGCAAACAGCCATCATCCCCTCATCCAGGCTGGCCAGGCATCCCAGTGGGGACCCCCACCCTGATCCAGGACACCCTTCAGGGCAAACCAACCGGACCCCAGGCCTCTATCCTATATAGTAAAAGGGTAATATGCCTCCCAGCACCGGGATCAGCGGAGCCTCGAGGCCTCCTGGCACCGGATCAGTGTGACAGGGGGCAGCACCCAAACCCCCTGATCACCCTGCGGCTCTGTGTGTGACAGGGTGTGGCGTCCCAACCCCCTGATTGGCCCTGCTCTGTGACAGGGTGTGGCACCCAACTCCCCCCCCCCCCCC